CCTCCATTCTCCTCTCGGGATCTTGGGCACGCACGCACACGCGCCCGGTGTGAGTTTTAGGCCACCGGGTCTGGGACGCGAACCGCTGTCGACTACATGGGAGTCCAGCGACATAGCCATTATGCTAACTGCTCGTTCCTGGGGGATGATTTTCTGCTTTCTGTCTCTCTGTCTCTCTGTCTTTCTGGTGAGCCTTATAGCAAAAATCTAAAAAAAAAAAAAGAGAGAGAAAAAATTACTTTTTATTGCACACCCACTGGAATTAGAGACAATGAAAATACCAAGGATGCGAAGCAACATAACTTTCAGACCCTGCTGTGGAAATGTAAACTGATGGAAACATTATAAAACTTAGGAGTGGTGCTGGCAGGTGGCCTGGTGATTAAGGGCGCTGGACTTCCACATGGCTGGCCACAGTTTGAGGCCTGGACCTGGGTGGCTTGCTTTCTCACTTTCCTTCTCTCTTTCTTGCTCTGTTTCTCTCTGGTCAAATTAAAAAATATATTAAAAAAGTAAGTAAAAATAGAGTTAATAAAGTAATTCTTAAAAAAAAACAAAACCTTAGGAGTGGCTGGCTCCATGACATGATGGTAGGCTGGATCTCACATACCCAACTACATAGTTCAAGTCCGAGACTCAGTAGCTCAAGAAACACAGTAGAGGGGCCAGCAGCTAGCATAATGGCTATGTCATTTGACTCGCATGTAGTCGATCGCGGTTCAAGTCCTGGACCCGGTGGCTTAAACTCAGGCTGGGTGTGTGTGCGCATGCCTGCCCAAGATCCTGAGAGGAGAATAGAGGAGAAGGGTTTGCAATATGGCCATCCCCCCTGGGGGGTGATTTCTCGCTTTCTGTCTCTCTGTCTTTCTGGCGAGCGCACGCACCCTATAGCAAAAAGCTCTCCAAAAAAAAAAAGAAAGAGAGAGATGGTGGAAAAGGGATTGTGCTGTGACCATTCCCCATGGGGAGTGGGGGCCCCAGGGTGATTTCTCCTCTTCCTCTCTCTGTATCTAACAAGTGCATGCATCCTCTAGGGAAAACAAACAGACCAAAAAAAAAAAAACTGCGTAGGAGAATTTATGAAAGTTAAACATGAGCCTATATATAAAACCAAGGAATTCCATTCCTAGGTATTTAAGAAGAGAATTAAGAGCAGATAAAGGCAGGGATACAGATGTTCCTAGCAGCCTTAGTTATTAATAGCTATAAACTAGATACAGGAGTGTGCATCAGCAGGAGAATGGATACATATGTTGTGGTATATTTATAGTTAATTACTACACAGGACAAACAAAACTCAGTAAGAATGAATTACTGGTTCATATAACATGAATCAATTTTGTTCACATTATGCTGAGTGAAATAAGCCAGACACACGAAGTCTATATACTGTAGTTTTCATTTATATAAAATTCACAGAGAGGCAAAAACTCCTCTAAGGTTGTCAGTTATTGAAGGGGGATCAGCAAGTGGTGTGGTGGTTAAGGTGCTGAACGCTCCCACATGGGCGATCATGGTTTGAGTCCCAGACCTGGTGACTACTTTCTCCCTTTCCCTTGCTCACTCTCTCTCATTCTGTCCCTCTCTAGTCAAATTAAAATAAATAAATCAATTAAAAATAATTAAAAATATGAGACCAGCAGGTGGCATGGTGGCTAAGGCTCTGGACACTCCCACATGACCAACCTAGGTTCGAGTCCTGGACCTGGTGGCTTCCTTTCTCACTTTCTCTTTCTCTCTCTGGTCAAATTAAAATAAATGAATGAATAAATAAAATTAATAAATAATTCTTTCAAAATAATTAAAAATAAATGAATAAATAAAATTATATATATATATACATACATATATATATATATATATTATTGAGGGGCAGGATGGGAACAAAGAGATGATGACATGAGGCAGTGTCTGGGATGCTGGAAATGTTCCCGGTCTTGATCCAGGTGAGAAGTACACAGGTATGAACACGTAAAAAATCAGCTTAAGCTGATCACTTAGGATTGACCCATTTCCTGTATTTAAGGTATACCTTATTGTTTTTTAAAAATGCCCTATATTGCAGCTTCATTGTGATAAAAATATTATTACTTAAAAATATTTATTTTGAAAATTCAAGGCTGTCAAGGTCACCACTTCCATTATCTAATATCTGGCAAATTGCATCAGCCTCCAACTGGTGTGCCTGCCATCAGTTTCTTCTCGTTAGCAGGTCCTTGAAGCACGATACATTTGATTTAGCTAACCTCTAGTTTGCCAAACTTCCTTGGCTTCCATGCCTAGCGCTGAGGTGCTTATCTGTGGGACAGAGTGAAGCAAAGACTTTCCTAATCCACTCCCTACCTTTCCAAGTTTACGGTGACCTCTCTCCATGCCCTCCATCCCTGGCGTGTAGAACTATGCAGTTTTTTCACCTGCGGACTTGTGCTGGTGCTGTCGGTTCTCGGCCTCTGCTCCCTCTGTCCAACTCCCCCCCAGGAGATCAGTGCTTGGCTTAATGGTTACGTTGCTGGACTCCCATGTAGTGGAGCTCCGTTCGAGTCCTGGACCCGGTGGCTTAAAACACGCTGGGCATGTGTGCATTTGTGCCCAAATTCCTGAGAGGCCAATGGGACAGAAGGGATTGAGGCAGAGCCATCCCCTCGGGAGGTAATTTCTTGCTCTCTGGCTCTCTGGGGAGCAGATGCACCCTAGAGCAAATATCTCTATTTTAAAAAATTCCTTTCCACATTTTAGGGTTCAGCTCTCAAGGACTCTCTCCCCAATGTCCCACCGTGACCAACTCTCAGTTGGGGCCTTCCTACTTCTTTAGGAGCCTCAGCAAAATCACCATATTAAACCATCTACATTTTACACGATCCGCCCCCTGAGTTAAATGTTTCCTGAGAACTGGCATCGTTTTTCTCCCTCACTGGGTCCCTGTGCTAAATAAATGGGTGCTAACAGAACTGAATGATAAGTTCCATTTTTGTCTCAAAGTTCTAATTTTCATAGAAACTTTGCTTCCCATTAAATTCTTCACTGCAGAGGAACTTGGGAATAGAAGTGTATTCAGACAAGGCAATTCAAAAAAGTGGATATAGATAAGACAGTTTAAACAAGACATGATTTAGAGTTGCCTTTAGCTCAGATTTCCTATTTTAAGAGTCTCCTGGGACTGGGACCAGAAGATGGCATAATGGTTACATTGCTGGACTCCCACATAGCTGACTGTGGTTCCAATCTCAGACCTGGTGGCTTAAAACTCACTCGCCATGTGCCTGAGATCCTGAGAGGAGAATGGAGAAGGGATTGTGGTGTGGCCATCCCCTCTGGTGGGTGATTTCTCTCTTTCTATCTCTCTGTCTCTCTGGGAAGTATATGCACCGGATAGCAAAAATCTCTGTCAGGGAAAAAAAAAAGTCTCCTGGGATTAGCAGGTTGCATTGAGGTTAAAGCAACTGGATTTCACCATGGCTGACTCCACAGTTCAAGTCCCAGACCTTATGGCTTGAAAACATGCTGGGTGTGTGTGCGTGCCCAAAATTCTGAGAGAATTGAACGACAAAGAATTGCTTTATGGCCATCCCCCCTCGGGGTGATTTCTCACTTTCTCTTTCTCTGTCTCTGGCAAGGGGGCTGCACCTTATAACAAACTAAAAATAAGTCTTGGGACCAGCAGATGGGGTAATGTTTATGTGCTGGACTCCCACATAGACCACCGTGGTTTGAGTCCAGGACCTGGCAGCTTAAAACATACAAGGCACGTGTGCATGCGTGCCCAGAATCCTGAGAGAATGGAGATTGCCCTGTGGCCATCCCCTGGGGAAGGTGATTTCTCGCTTTCTGTCTCTCTGGAGAGTGCATGTGACCTATCACAAAAATCTCTCTCTCTTTTAAAAAAAATTTTCATTTTATTTATTGTTATTCTTTTAATTGACCAGAGAACTAAAGAGAAAGGGAGACTGAGAAAGCAAGCCTCCAGGTCCAGGTCCCGAACCTTGGTCAGCCAAGTGAAAGTCCAGCATCCCAACCACCACGTCTTCTGCTGGCTGTAAGGATCTCTCAAAAATAAAAAAAATAAAAAGTCTTCTGCACTGTCCAGGAGAGTAGCCATCAGTCACATGTGGCTATGTAGGTTAACTAAATAGAATACAAGGTTCAGTTTCTCAGTCTTGCTGGCTACATTTCAAGTGCTCGGAAGTCTCATGTGGCTGTGCCCACCGCACTGAGTGCGCGGAGGGGACCTACTCTCTTTGCGTCCTCGCTTAAAGTTCCCTTAGACCGCACGATGCTCTGGCCTTTTCGCTCTCTCCTCCACCCTGTGCCGAACCGCTGCCCCTATCACCAGTGCGATCCTTACTGTGTAACTAATTATTTGCTAGTTTTAATAAACAGGGTTGCAAGGCGTTAGGGTCCGTGCCTCACAGCTGTTGTTCCACTGTTTGACTTTGAAGTCCGGGCACATGGGAGTTCCGTAAGTGTGGAATTAGAGTGACAGAATGGGAGAGGCCTTACGGACACATCAGCCCTATTCTCACGCTGACCGGTCCTCTGTGGGCCTACCGTCTTTCCTTTTTAAAGCTTATTGGGAACCAGCAGTTAGCGTAATGGCTATGTTGCTGGACTCCCACGTAGTCGACTGCGGTTCGCGTCCCGGGCCCGTGGCTTAAAATTCACGCCGGGTGCATGTGCGTGCGTGCCCAAGATCCCGAGAGGAGAATGGAGGAGAAGGGATTGTGGCATGACCATCCCCTCTGGGGGGTGATTTCTCGCTTTCTGTCCCGATGTCTCTCTCTGTCTGGCGAGCGCACACACCCTATAGTGCAAATCTCTCAAAAAAAAAAAAAAGCTTATTTTGAAGCTTCGCTGGCAAGAGCGGGAAGCTCAGACACTACTAATTCCAAGCCCGTAGGAGGCCGCAACCAGTGGCCCCGCCCACGCCCCGCCCACCCTCTCCCGCTGGCTTGCCGGCCGGGGGTCGCGCTGCTGTCCCCGCCCCCGCCCTTCACTGCGCAGGCGCGGCCGGCGAGCGTGGGGTGAGGCTGCCAGGCTGCCAGCGCTCAGGAGCGCGGGGGTTTGCGGCCTGCGATCTACAGTCCCCAGCCGCTCAGTACGTGAGGCGTCAGGCGCAGTGAGCCGAGCCTCTCCGCGCCCTGGGCAGCGTGGCCATGGAGAATCAGGTGCTGACGCCGCACGTCTACTGGGCTCAGCGACATCGCGAGCTGTATCTGCGCGTGGAGCTGAGTGATGTGCAGGTACAGGCCGGTCCGGGCGGCGGGAAGCGCGCGGGATCGAGGCTCTCGGTACCCGTCGAGACTCCCGCCCCTTTGTCTCGGTGCGTGCTGGAAAGCCTGCAGTGCGCCAGCGAGCTCCGCGCCGCCGTGTGTCCCCGGCCTGCTGGCTCTGGCCGAGGCTAGCCAGCTGCTCCGGGCCGGGGGACGGCCCTCTGAGGGCTGCAGGTGCCTCCTTGCCCTCTGTGCGCCTGGCGCGGGTCTCCGAGGCTGCCCGGGCCTCCTCTTTGTTAGCGGTCTGCGGCCGGGTGGAGCCCGAGCCTAGCGCTGGAGGTCTGGCCGTCGGGGTTCGAGTTGGTGAGGCCGGTGGAGAGAGACGTGGGAGAAACTCGTTGGGTCAAGGGTGCGGCGGCCTGCCTGGCAGTGGCCTGACCCCTCACATATTTGTGGAGTCCGCCGCTGCCTGGGGGGCCACACCCACCTCCCAACCGTTCCGTGATGGAATCAGCCTTATTACTTTCAATTTTAAAATGAACAAAACCGAGGAAGTAATTTTTCCCTCTCTTCCGAAGAGGTGAGCTCAGGTTTGTTGAGTTGCGTCCAGAACTTAAAAAATGATCTTGAGTTACATTCAGCATTTGCGTTTGATCTCATTGACTCCCTCTGTGAGCAACCTGAAGCCTCCCAGAAGTGGAGACATCAGGTTACCCCCGTGTGGCCGTCCAAATCATTCGGATTCCAGTCTTTGTATTGTAGAACTGGTTTTCAGTCTAGAATATTCCTTCTACACTCATCCTTACTCCCAACTTCTCCTTGACAGCCATGGCATTTTGTAACCTCGTTCACTTCCCTGTACTCTCTGCCTCGGAATCAGGCTTTCAGGCTTGGATCTGTCAAGCCCTTGGGCATATTGCCTTGGGGAGTGTAGGAGTGTAGATACTTTCTGAGTGTTGACTTGATTTTATTGAATTTAATTTAATCTTTGCTTCTGGAATATAAACCTGTTTTCCTTTTGAAAGATGAAGACAGGTATGCCAGGAGGAGATCCGGGGAGGAGAATAGAGGAGAAGGGATTGCAGCCGGCCAACCCCCACCCTGGTGGGCGATTTTTCTCTCCCTCTCACTGACTCTGTCTTTGTTTCTCTCTCCTGGCAGTGCATGTGCCCTATGGCAAAAAAAAAAAAAAAAAAAAAAAAAATTCTCTCTGAAAAAAAAAAAGAAACAAAAGGAAATGGAAATTGGTTGGCCAGAATGTCCTTAAATAGGCTAAGACATTGCCTGGTGTGTCATTAAATGTGTTAAACCAGACTGAATTACACTTTTACGTCAGAGGATGAATAAATGTTCTGTGCTGCCTCTCTTTACTCTGCTCCAGGGTGCTTTAATAATACTGGAAAAAAACAAAATCTTTTGTAGCTTAGGGATCAAAGTCTCCATCTAGAGTGTTCTTGCAGCAATCAATACACTACAGGGCAGCTTGTAGCCTTGTGGTTAAAGAAGCCGCCCACCACAGTTTTAATTCTACCCTGCTTGAAAACACACCTGGTGCTTGAGTGCATGCCCCAAGTACCACAAGGAGGGAGAAATGGAGGAGAAGGGATTGCGGTGTGACCATACCTCATTCAGGGGTGCTTTCTTCCTCTCTCTCTTTCTCTGTCTCTCTCTGGCAAATGCATGCACCCTCTGGCATGCATTTGAAAACTATAATAAATAAATAAAAATACAGAACATGTGTTATGACATTCACTTTAAGTACTTAGTTAAAAGCAACGTGTAGGACAATTACATAAATTTAGGCCCTGCCCTCCCTAATATCTGACATTTGATAAGAATAGAACATTCTAGATATTTTTTTTTTTTGAGAGATTTTTCACTGTAGGGCGCGTGCGCTCGCCAGACAGAGAGAGAGACATAGAGACAGAAAGTGAGAAATCACCCCCCAGGGGTGATGGTCACACCGCAATCCCTTCTCCTCCATTCTCCTCTCGGGATCTTGGGCACGCACGCACACGCGCCCGGTGTGAGTTTTAAGCCACTGGGTCCGGACACGAACCGCGGTCGACTACGTGGGAGTCCAGCGACACAGCCATTACGCTAACTGCTGGTTCCCACATTCTAGATATTTTTGAAGCCATAAGTAGAAAAGGTGTTTTTCCACTGGGGTGATTGTGGAAAGAAATGAAAATTGGGGGGGCCCAGTAGATGGCATAGTGGTTACGTTGCTAGACTCCTACATGACTGACTACAGATCGAGTCCCAGGCCCAATGGTTTGAAACTCACACAGGGCATACGTGCATATGTGCTAAAGATTCCAGGAGGAGAATAGAGGAGAAGGGATTGCTGTATGGACATCCCTGGGAGGGGGGATGATTTCTAACTTTTTGTCACTTTCTCTGTCTCTCGTTCCAGCTAGCACATGTACCCTATGAGAAAAAAACAAAAAACCAAAAACTCAAAAAAAAACTCTTAAAAAAAAGAAATGGAAATTGGTTGGACAAATGGAAAACTGCATCATACTATGTTTTTCTTGAACGATCTAAACCTTTCAATCAAGAAACATGAACACTTGTATTTATCATATTTGGTATATTTAGAAATGTGGAGGTATATGTTTGAAATGTATCAGTTAAAATGTAATGGAGGGAAAAAATGACATTTTCTTTTGGAGAGAATTTATTTTTTAATTTTGGGGGAAAAATAAGTCTTTTATCTTCAAGTGAGTTTTTTCTCTGGGCTTTTACATCTGTACTTCTGAGACATTCATTTTCAACTACCATTGGTTTAAAAGCAACATGTTAATCCCATTCATGACAGAAATCCCCTGCTAACATGTGTAAGATACTACAGACTTACAAAGATGAGTCAGACTGACCTGGCTTTCCAAGGACATACTCTCTGGAAGGAAGCATATTATCACATACAAGCCAAACTTGCTTTTGTGAGTCGCTAGATACTTGGAATGGCTGACCTGTTAGCACCCCCACAGCCAGAGACCACCAGGAACACACCTTTTTTTTTTTGGAGAGGTTTTTGCTATAGGGCACGTGCGCTGCCAGACAGACAGAGACAGAGAGACAGAAAGCGAGAAATCACCCCCCAGGGGGGATGGCCACGCCGCAATCCCTTCTCCTCCATTCTCCTCTCGGGATCTTGGGCACGCACGCACGTGTACCCGGCGTGCAGTTAAGCCACCAGGTCTGGGACTCGAACTGCGATTGGCTATATGGGAGTCCAGAGACATAGCCATTACGCTAACTGCTGGTCCCAAAGCACACCTTTTTAAAACAAGTTGGGTTTATTCCTCATTGCAGCAAGGGAGAGCATACTCCTTAGGGAATGGTGTCTCATTAAGAGGGTGTTAGAACTCATTATATGATTTGGTCCTGGGTGGCTGTCAGAAGCCAGGAGCAATTCTGTGGTTGGGTATTTTTAGGATTCTTCCTCTACCCCTTTGGTATGAAGCACATGCACCCTGTGGCAATTAAAAATTAAATAAAAAATACAGAGCATACGTTATGACAGTCACTTAAGTACTTTGTTAAGTACTGTGTAAGCTAAATTAAATAAAGTCAGGCCCTGCCCTGCCTAATGTTGTCTGTCATTCTTTTTAGTTCTTTTAAATTAAAAAAAAAATTGCTACAGGTTGTTTGCGCTTTCAGGAAAGACAGACGGAGAGAGGGAATGTGAGGGGGGGATGGCCAGGCAGCAGTCCCTTCTCCATTCTCTTGGGGTTTTGGACACGTATGCACATGTTCCCAGAGTGTTCTTCAAGCTGCTGGGTCTGGGGCTCAACACTTGCAGTTGGCTAGGTGGGATCCAGCCACCTTTATTTCCACACCTCCTGCTGGCCTGATGTCTGTCACTTGACAAGGGTACAGTTACGGATAACTGACAATATAGAGTGGATAACCACTTAACTCTTACAAGCTTCATTCTCTTCATCCATTTAAGAATGAGGAACCGCTAATTCACAGGCCTTTTTTTTTGTCTTACAAGATATTAGAGAGAGAGGGAAAGAAAGATACTTATTTACTTATTTATAGGGAGGGGAGACTATCACAAGAATAAAATAAATGAGGGACCAGCAGTTGGCATAATGGCTATGTTGCTGGACTCCCATGTAGTCGACCACGGTTCGAGTTCTGGACCCGGTGGCTTAAACTCACTCCAGGCACATGTGCATGCGCGTGCGGGCCCAAGATCCTGAGAGGAGAATGGGGGAGAAGGGATTGCGGTGTTGCCATGCCCCCCCCCGGGGGGTAATTTCTTGCTTTCTGTCTGTCTGTCTCTCTGTCTTTCTGGCGAGTGCATGCTCCCTATAGCAAAACTCTCTCCACAAAAAAAAGGATAAAATAAATCGTAGAGAAGTAGCAGTCACTCAATTTGGCCAAGAGAGGGAGCATGGTATTTTGTGGGTGGCACAGTGAGTAAGATGGCCCTTGTTTCACTTTGTCAAGGTTTTAGAGTAACCTTGTCTGAGGTTGGTATTCTGTAGGATCCTTATATCTGATAGGCGAATAACATGGCCTAGCAGTCTGTGCCAGACCTGCTGTTCATTGTCAGGGGCTGCTTTTTTTTTTTTTCCCTTGATTGATTGTTCTTCACAGGGCCTGTTGGAACTAGTGGTTCTGGCTCAGGAGGAAGCAATTCATTTATTTGTTTAATAATAACCGTTCATGGGACCAGCAGTTAGCATAATGGCTATGTCTCTCGACTCCCATGTAGTCGACCGCGGTTCCAGTCCCGGACCTGGTGGCTTAAATTCACGCTGGGTGTTTGTGCGTGCATGCCCAATATCCCAAGAGGAGAATAGAGGAGAAGGGATTGCTGCGTGACCATCCCCCCGGGGAGTGATTTCTCGCTTTCTGTCTCTCTGTGTGTCTCTGTCTGTCTGGCGAGTGCACGCACCCTGTAGCAAAAAAAAAAAAAAAAGCCTGTAGCAAAAAAAAAAAAAAAGCCTCTCAAAAAAAAAAAAAACGATGTACAGGATTCCTGTCCACTGGACTATAAGGTTTATGTGGGT